AATATAATATAATATATACATAATATAATATAATATATACATAATAGATAGAATAAAACATTGTATATATATGTGCTATATTATATATTACATATAACACATATTTATAATATAGGATATATAATATCATATGATTTAACATAAACAATATAATTCAATATAATTCAATATAATTCAATATAATATGATATAATATAATATAATATAATATTATAATATAATATATCAATATATATATATATTACAATATAATATAATATAATAGAAATATTATTATATATAATATAATATATATAATATATATATAATATTATTTAATATATACTATATCCTATATCATATATAATATATAATATAGAACATATAATGTATAATATCTAGTATATAATATATCACATATTATATAAAATATATCGTATATAATATGATATATATAGTATTTGATTTAGAATATATGATTTATAATTTATAATATGATATTTATATATAATATATAATATATAATATATAATATATAATATATAATAGATAATATTTAATAAATAATAAATAATATTTAATATATAATATAAAATATTTAATATATAATATATTATATATAATATTTAATATATAATATAATATATATAATAAAATATATGTATAATACAATATAATATATATATATATTATAATTTTATATTTAATATATAATTATATATTTAATATACAACATCAGTCCTGCTTGGTGGTTGATATGTCTTATTTCCCACTTGTTTCATATTTGGAAGGATGATCCCCAAGAGCATCTATCGGGTTGTTCAACCACCAACCGCTGGCTGGCGCAGTGATGCACTGCCGACTGCGGTATGAGTTCGAAACACGTTGAACTTGCCTGGTTGATGGTGTTTTTTGGGGGTGACATACACTATCCGATCCTTTAAATGAATTGGGGATGATCATGATTCATGATTCATGGTAGAAAACTATGAACCAAGCAGGAAATCATATTAACCATGGCCAGCCCATCCAGTGCTGGGATGACCATAATGGATGTTTGACGTTCGAAGGGACTCCGTCCAAGCTTGGCTTTGCGCTTAAGCTCATTGCTGATTTTTCGCCATTGAAATCCACAATTAATTGGCGGAATCTGTCAATATATATATATATACTTATATACTTATATATATACATATTTACATAATTACATATTGATTATATACAAAGAGATGCATAGTACCCAACTTGGGTCCCTTGAACAAAAAAAATGTTGTTTTCATGTTGATCTTTGGGTGCCTTTTTGATTGGGATGGATCATAATTTTTTTGGCACCAGCAGAGAGAATAGGGGAACAATCACACAGCGGCTCCACTTTATTTCATTTCGGGCAAGTAAGCTTTGCCCTCATCTGGATCGAACATGCGTAGAAGGTGTTTTGTTTTGGATCACACGGTCTTTTCTTAAGATTGTCTAGACCAAGGAAGTTGATCTAACGATTTCCGGTCCTCTTCAGGATATGTTCACTGCCTCAATGGTTTTTGCAAAGGTGGATGCTTCCCAGGTCTCCCAAGATCTTGAAATTATCAACACTTCTGCTTACATGACCTGTTTTGTTTAATTTAGGAAACCATGGTGAACTGAAAACCAGGTCATGCACCTCATATCTTACATGGAGTAGAACCTGCAACAAAAATAACCTGACCTAGCCTCTGGTAATTTGTTGCATAACTATTGAAAATTGCCATTTATAGTTGATTTACCCATTAAAAATGGCGATTTTCCATAGTTATGTTAGTTGACCAGAGGGTAATGTATTTAATTTCTCTTTGCCAATGCCAAACATGCTGTGTACTACCTATGACCAAGATACGCTCTCTGTGTCGGGTTTCTTTAGGAATACGGGTTTCGAGATCACTATGCGTTTGTTTGCATGTTAGCAAACGGTTTCAGAACGGCAAGTGATCAACATCCAGTAGTTCTCTGGATTAGCCTCTGGTAAACATACAAAAATCTATGGAAAATCACCATCTTTAAGAACGGTAAATCCACGAACTTTCCATGGGCCATTTCCCATGGCTATTTTGACATAACCAGAGGGTAGCTCTTCCCATGGAATTTTCCGGCAGCTCATGGACATTTGGATGGACGTTTGAGTCGTTCAGCTTACGGTAAGAACATGCAGCGAAGGATTTTAACATGGCTATGGAAAATGACCCATTTATTACCTATTAAAAATGGTGAATTTCTATAGAAAACTGTTATTTTGAGATGGGCACATACAGTATCCATGGGACTTTCATTCCCAAACATCTGGGATTTGACTGTCCCTTCTCCCAAATAATTAACAGCCCCCCCCCCCCTACAAACCTAGGCTACTAAACCAACATAGATGTGGAAAACACATGAAAACCCACCATTTGAAGATCCATTTCCTAGGTAAGCCATGGCTTTCCCATATCTATGTCCTTTTTTTTATTGAATTTGTTGAATTGCTTCATTATTTTTTTGGGGCCCATTGTGGGCGTTAGCCTCGTTTGAGGTAAACCGTTGCAACAGCTGCAACAGCTGAGATGAAACCATGAGTGTCTCTTGGCTTCTCTGTACATTGGTTAAGCTATAGGTATTTAAGAACTCAGTGTATATGTAACCTACATCATCATCATCATCATCATCATCATCATCATCATTCTCATTCTGCGCATCGCCGCATGCAGCATGAATTCTGGAAGGGATGCAGGGACGACCTCAGTGTTGAAACCCCCGTTGGTTGATGACTATAGACTATAGGAGGTTATACTATGTTATAATACTTGATATATATTAAGGGGATTATCATAATCCATTATCGGAATCCCTATTAACCAACCGTCATAAAGAGACGACATTGCGGGTTCTGAGCACTGCTCAATTTGAATTGCAAGTTGCCCTGGTTCATTTTAGTTTTAGTAGGACATCTAAGGATACCCGCCAAAGGTACCACAAAAGAAATCAGGCCCACCTTTTGTGGGAATGCTTGCCCCCATCAACCCCAACAACAAGGCGACTCTGGTTGGTGGTTTGGAACATGTTTTTTTTTTGTCCCATCATATTTGGAATGTCATCATCCCAACTGACGAAGTCCATCATTTTTCAGGGTGGTTGGTTGAAACCACCAACCAGTGACTTATTACACATACACCGCACGACATGGGATTCTCTGAAAAGGTGCCATGACTGGAACCCCTAAATCCAATACGTAGCCTCATCATTGTCCCCATTCAGATTGCCATCAAATTTTGCGTAGGCTCTTGGCTACATGTTATATACATATCCCGTTATTAATATACATCCCATAAAATATCTTCACATTGTTGGTCCATACAGAATATATCAGAATATATGCAATGGGAACATATGGGAAACTCATCTATAAATGGGGATTTAATGGATATCTAGTGGGATTTAAAATGATTTATCCGGATGCGTCGGGTTGTCATAGAAACAGTAAAATCTTGAGATACAATGGTTTTCATCAGTGGGGATATTTGCTGGCCACCAAAAAACTGACCATTCTTTGCATTTACTGTAGTATCTAGGATGTGCCTTGATCTCTGGATTTTAAGATTGCCAAGGTTGTTAACCTCTGACCACCAGGGTTATTCATGTGAGCCGACAGTAAAGCTTGATATTTTTCCATCCAAAATTGGAGGTTTATGGCATGTGTCAAAACCTTTGTCAAAATCTAATCTGGTTGGTGGTTTGGAACATTGTTTATTTTCCATATATTGGTAATTTCATAAACCCAACTGACGAACGCATATTGTTCAGAGGGGTAGGTAAACCACCAACCAGTATATATATATATAGATGGTCAAGTCCCCCGTTTTGCTGTCTTACCTATACGCAACTATGCTAAGTCACCAGTGATTTTCGGTAAACATCACCATGTTTGCTGGCTAAAACACCATCGTTATCATTGAAATCACCATGACTTACATCACCGTTGTCTAAATCTTTGTTGGCAAGAATAAATAAACAACTTGTTAATTAAAACTCATGAATTTCTCATGATATCATCATTTGTTCAAGATGTTTCATGATTTTAGCATATATGTATATACATACATATATGGCCCAATATTTGTTCCACATGTTTGCTAGTAAAAATCACCATTTTTGTTGCTTGAAGCCGCCTCTGAATGAGGACGGCACGGATTTCTTGCTCACCGAGGTAGATTCCTGGGGATTGAACATTGAAACATGAAGGGTTACACTTGGCCCATCCTGCTATACCCTCTGGTAAACTAACGTAGTATAGAAAATCACCATGATTAATGGGTAAATCAACTATAAATGGCAATTTTCAATAGCTATGTTAAATTACCGGAGGGGACACACATATATATATATATAATATACATGTATGTGTATAATACACACATCTATGTATATATATATATACGTGTATATATATACATAAAGGCATTGTATGAAATAGCACCCCATCTGTTGGGACCTCAATTCATGATGAGCCCCAAGACTGCACCAGGGTTTCGTTTTGGAGGTATTTGATGTGATGCGGGGTAGGGGTTATGAGATGTGTAACCAACAAATGAATCTCTGGTGGTTGGGAAAGAGCTGCTAAGAGTTTGGGGTAGCCAGATTTTGCAGGTTCATCATCTTGGGGAACCAAGGAGTTACTCAATATGAGTGAGATTTTCTACCCAATGATCTTAATGATTCAAGATTGACTATGCTTCAATTGGGGAGTTTCCTAACCACAAGATAGACGTGTATTTGATGACGAATCATTACCATGTTATCCATGTTTCGATGTGGGGGAAAACCCCACCCCAATCCCAGGCTTTCATCAGATCCGATATCCATCGAATCATTTTCACGTGAATTTTTGGCGAGAAATAGGAGTACCATGTGTGTTTTTTGGAGATTTGGAGATCTAGTGATTTTTGAATCTTCCGATGTTTGTTGGTTGGATGAATTTCGAACATTTTTACCCGGTCGTCTCTTGGGCCCGGGTTCCTATGATTCACTTCATTCTCCCATCAGTTCAGGATAGGTCAGGTATGGTCATCTCTCCTTTTTTCGGGGCTTGATACCCCGAGATTCAAAAATCTAAAGGGTTCCCCCACCCACCATTTTTGATGATTTTTGTTGGTGGAATCCACCATTTCCACTATGGCATTGGTGCTTAAATAATGTTTTATCAAACATCATTGATCGACCATGTTGAGAAGCCATGATTTAAACAATGATTCGACACACCTCTTAAACCGTCATCGACATGATAACAGTTGCTTTAAACATCTATTGATTTGCTATATTTCTTCAACAATGATGCTTTAAAATCCAAAAAACCCTGGTGTTTTTATCACCGAACGAAGGTTCGGACTCGCCTGTGAACAGGCGGCCCTGGGCGCCTTGGAGGCCTTTGCTGCGCTGCTGGTGAAATCCGACTTGGGCACCTTGGCGACTGAAAGCTTCAGGGCGGCTGGTAAATGGTTGGTAAATCAGCTGAAATGTCCTGTTTTTGGGAGATTTCGAACATCACTTTCAATTATTTCTTGGAGATTATATATACATGTGTATAATTATAGTATTTGGATGATGTTTGGAAAATTAGGACATTTACCAAACCCTGAATAATTTGCTGAAGGTAGATATGAATCACATTGAAATCACCATTTGGATATGAATCACCATTAATCATATAGTAACATATAGTAACCATTGTCATGAAGAACAAGACACACCAATTTTCATGCTGGTTGGTGGTTTGGAATATGGCTTTTATGACTTTCCCATCATATTGGGAATGGAAAATCATCCCAACTGACTCTCACTCCATTTTTTTCAGAGGGGTAGGTTTTCCCTTAAAAAAACAAAAAACAATACACCCTGGATTTGCGGTGAATGTCGATGATCAACTTGGACGGCTTCAAGCTTCCGGGAATCCATTCACTCGGCCATGGGATCAATGGGATGCGCTTTTAAAAGGCGCGTTTGGTTTTTGTGGCCCATGGGATGCGATTTGTTTTCCGTCAAAGATGAATAATTAATCCATTTACCGACTAGTTCGCGAGGCGCCTCCATGATTGAAAAAGTAGGCTAAGTGTTGGGTTTATGGGGTTTATGGAAGTGTTCTTGTACCGTAGCTATGGTAGTTAGAAGGTTTTAAGAACTGACTACAGGTCCCATCTGGTACACTTGGTTTATGTTACCCCATTTCCTGTTTGGATATATCCCCAATCTAAGCAGACTCGGCTCGAAAGCAATCGTCCTTTTTTTTTGGGGGTGCCCTTGCTGAGGGATTGTGGCATCGCAAGGTTTTCCATGATCATTTCAGGATCATTTCCGAAAGGGACACTGCATGTTTTGGCCCTCTGTGTATAATTCAGCACCGTGGACCTCAGGGTAAATGCCATGGTTTCCCAGTCGGGCCAGTCGTCCCGTTTTGTTAAAATGGGGATGGGTCAAAATCTACGATTGCACAGTTTTCCCATATTTGGGCGAATAAACATCCATTATATAAGCTATGGCTTGGGTTCCTTGGGGTAGCAGGATTTCGACATGTTTTGACCCATCAACAAAAAAACCAAATCTTTGCTGTTGAAGCTGATTTTTGACTGGATTCGACTGGGCCCACCGTCCTATTTTTTCGTCCTTTTGAGGTCTTCCCCAACGGCGGAGCATTCTGCGAATCGCCTGGGACACGGCGCGGGAGGGCGACGCCTTGCTTCAACATGAGGACCGCATGGCCGACCTTTGGAACATGTGAGGCCAACATTGTGAGGAAACCATGGAGGAATCATGTTATACCAGGTTATTGATGGTTACTAACTAAATGGATGTTACTTTTTCCTCTATAAAATGGCAGGGTCAACCCCCTCCATAAATCGTTTTATGTTATGGTTTTGTGGGGGTATAGCCCTGCCAGGTTATTGATGGTTACGAACTAATGGTTAAGTTTAATATTTTAATGGTGATGATATAATTCCCATTGCTTACTAACTATATAAGGGTTAAGTTGAATGGCTACTGACCAATGGTTGCATGTTGTAACCCCCTTTGGTTTCCAGGACCCCATGGCCTCCTTAACCGCCTCGGAGATCGCCCTGGCGGAGCTGGGCGCCGTCTGCCTCTCGGCGGCGGTCGAGGCGCAACTGGCGCTGAGCGGCGCCGCGCTGCGCGCGGCGCGCTCGCAGGTGCCGCAGCAGGTGCCGCCCTGGGAGTGGCGCCGTGGCCACAGCGGACGTCGCGGGGGATGCAACGGGGGACCTGGGGGTAGGCCATGGGGGTGGAATATTTGGCAAAATTGGGGTTGGGATGGCTGGAGTTGAGTGATGATTTTCCAAATTCTCAGAGGGGATGGGTGGGGATGATGGTGGGATTTGGGTGCGGTGATGAGAAAAATGAGTGATTTGGGGGGTGTTATCAGTGATATGTTTTCATTTTTTAATGATTTATAGTTTTATAATATATAATTATATAATATGTATATATATATATACATACTTTGGTTGTTAGGTTTAGGGATTTTAGGTTGAAGTTGGTTGAATTGGATGTGGTCGTAGGCTGGCTGGCTATGGAGATGGGTTGCCTTTCCAACTTGTTGCTCAAAATTCAGAGATAAGACCAAGAAACATGAACAACATTGGGTCCAAGAGGATACAAGTAATAATAGATGAAGTTAGTTTCACAGTACAACCACCCAGCAACATACAAGGTCTAACATGCCAGGGAAAGGTGTTTGGAGAATATTGGTATCCCTTGCTTGAGTCATCTGTATGACCATCTCAACCATCACCTTCCTTCATTCCTCCATGGTTGCACCTTTGAGAAAATGACCAGAATGTACTGACTTTGTTGATGCACATTTACCCAAAGCAAACATTGAGAAATAATGAGAAACATATATACGTCTATATGTACATGCAGGCATGCATGTGTATATCATAAACACACAGTATTTTGTTTCATTTTGTATATAATATGTGTAAGAACAGATGAAGACTTTGCGTTTATTATGTGTATGATGTTGCGCGTCTTGGCCGGGCACAGGAACAAGAGCAACCGTCCTGATTCCTCAGACCCGACAACTTCAAATGCCCAGAATATGCACCGTTATGTTTAGTATCGTATATTTGTATTCTCTCCAAACAGATAAAGCCAATTGTCAATATCTTACATGGATTTTACTTTCAATATATATATATATATGTATACATACATATATAGGTATAATATTAGTGGATAAGATAGATGCATAAATGTGGTTTGGTTGGCAACTTTGAGTAGGGTATGTTTAACCTCATAATTTTGTCATGGCTGGATGAACCAAAAGGTAGTGCATCACACAGTGCCTTGTGTACATTCACAATCTATAATGGTGTTCACATCTACATAGATGTATCATGATGTATCAATATGTATCTGCAACATTGCTATATACACATATATCTTGTGATTATATAATATATATAAAAAAGTATACAACTATATATTATCATATGTTATCATATGTATTTTCATATATTATCAGATATGGTCATTTATTGTCATTTATTGTCACATATTACTGTATCATATGACATATTGTTAATATTTCTTGTCATTTATTGTCATATCATATATATTATCATTCCTTGTCACAGAATGCATGTGTAAAGAATCCATAGCTATGGAAAATCACCATTTTCAATGGGTAAATCCACTACAAATGGGGTATTTTCAATAGCTATGTTAAATTACCAGGGTACATTGAATACTATACCCATATGCTCCATGTATGGAATATTTACCAACATTTACCTTATAAATGACCCAAATGTAGGTAAATATACCATACATGGAACATATGGGTATAGACTATCCACACGCATTTCTCCAAGGATTCGCTGGCGCGTGGATGCCTGCGCCCGAGCGGCCTTGACGGCTGGGGTGGACCAGGAGAAGTGTCACGTGACGGATCCGATGGAGACGCTCCCATGGGATCTATGGGACGACTATAACGGGACTGTAACGGGATTTTAATGGGATTATAATAGGATCATAATAGGATCATAATAGGATTATAGTGGGATCATAATGGGATTTTAATTGGATTCCAATGGGATATAATGGGACGTACCCATCAAGAACGGTGGTTCATGGGGATAGAATGGGAAGTTTTTAATGGGAGAATCGCTTCGATGTCCAGGGGAACATGCTGAAATATGAGTTCAAATGATCTTATTTTTAAAAAAGGGGGAAATCAGAATGAATACAAAAAAACTTTTTGTGTGTAAATTTTTGATTACTCTATATATGGTAATGATATATAGTCATGAATCTATAGTTTGATAATCTATGAACTGATGATGTTTGATAACCTGAATGGGAGCCTTTTGGCATATCATCTAGGGGACAGTCGTCAGTTTGATTTCTGGTGGCATCTATTGTTATAGTATGCATTAGTATGCTATAGTGCTTTAGAAGCCATAATCCATGAACATCATGATTTGTTTTTTTTTTTTGTTATGGTGCTTTAGAAGCCATAATTGATGAAAATAATGAAATCACAACCAATGAAATGATAACTTGAATCATAGTGAAAGATAGACTATGATCATACATTATTTCTGGTCATGTTTGTTCCGATTGAGAAGGGGGAATCAATAAAAAACAGTTGGGCAGAGGTTGGAACCAGAAATGACCAGCCCCCCGAAATGAGAAACATGGTGTTATCAACAACAATCATAGTCTGGTTGGTGGTTTGGAACATTTTTTATTTTTCCATATACTGTATTGGGAATTTCATCATCCCAACTGACGAACTCACTCCATCATTTTCAGAGGGGTTGGTAGGTATACCACCAACAATATACAACAATCATAGTGATCATTGTCCAAGGATCCATGGCCAACTTTCCTCCTGCGCATGGCTGACCACCCAGCCATCAGCCATCGGCTGACCCCAACGCCGACCCTTCCATGGCGACGAATTTCCTGAAATGGTGGATCCCCAAAAGCTGAATCGTTTACCCTTTGGTAATTTAACATAGCTATTGAAAATGGTGATTTATAGTTGATTTTCCCATTAATAGCATGGTGATTTTCCATAGTTATGTAAACATTTACCAGAGGGTATAAGGGAAAATCCGACTAAAATTTGGATGATGAAATGGGGTACCCCCATGACTTTGGAAACCAAAACCTATCATTCTTATGTTTTATAGATCATTCAGAAAGTGATTGACGGAATAGTTGTCAGTATAAACTAGTTGTATAGATAACTCATCTTGACGGCTGTCCAATTAGATAGAGATGAGTTATCTATACAACTAATTTATACTGACAACTATTCCGTCAATCACTTTCTGAATGATCTATAAAACATAATTTCAGTTACTTCCAGGACAATCAGGTTCTTTGAGGGCAACCCTGTCTTCCAGCATTCTAAATGGGACCCAAAGGCCACGGAATCTGTGGATATCTATGGAACCGTTTGCTCGTCTATTTTTCTAGTTGTTTTTTACTTACACGGTAAGTATTTTGAGGTTGCATGTTTTTCGTATTTATGTTGTATTTTTAATTCCTGTCAGACGGCACAACCAGGTACCTGTACAGAAGGTGCCACGACTTCGCTACAGACAAACTGTTGGGGTTTTCGGAGTATCCCAATAGCTGGATGGTGTACAATGGAAACTCCCATTAAAATGGATGTACCAGGTACCATGATGTACCTCCATTTCAGGAAACCTCCATTTTTTGACCATCCCCATCCCCAACTTGGCAATTTGGGCTGACCGCCGTTGATTTGTTTGGTTTCTCAGAACTGCAGAGATATCTACCATAACAATCCATATCTGCAGAAGCTCCGGTGATTGTGAGTTATCGTAAATCCACTCAAAGTATCTTAAATTCGCAAGCAAAAGTGATCAAGTTCTCCCCCAGTGACATATCAGCCCCATAAATCAACAGTCACTTCACTTTTCTGGTGCTTCATCCCACAAATCGTTAGTGTTTAGTTCACCCCAGTAGTGGATCAAGGCGACTTCTCCCACCGCAGGGTTATAACACAAAAACGATGGGATTAGCCACCTAAGTAGATGAATAGAATGAACGATAGATAGACAGATATAGATAAATATATATATATATAATAATATATATATACATATATATATATACAATAATCATATATATATATATACATATGGCAATACACATACATGTGACCTTCCCCTTCCAAGAAGGACTTTTGACCTTGAGGTGAGTCGCTCCGCAACATCGCCGCGACGTTGCTGGAGCCTTACCGTGCCTTGGATGCCTTGGGCCGTGCCTTGAGGCTTCAACCAGGAAATATAGGGAAAACATAGGGAATACCATCATCTAATCCATGCTGATGCTAAACGTAGGGAATGGATGGGTTGCTGGGGGTTGCTGGGATGATTATTACTGGTGATTATGGATCATTCCCGAAAATTCTCTACTAAGCACCAGTAAGCTATTCCATGGAATATCATGGAATCTCTATATTTTTGTTACGAAGATTTAACAGAGCCAAAACAAAAACAATTAATTGAACCATGAACGAGTAGAATTTACCATCAAACAATGGGGCTTTGGCCATTGGGGTCTATTTTCATAGTATTTTTTGCGGGGGAATGTGTTTTCACATGCAAAAACACCCCCAACTAATCCACTGTATTTATATGTATTTATAGTAGTTAGGGGGAAGATATTAAGATGCATTAACATGCAAAAACACCCCTAACCAATCCACCAATCACTACGACTCACCATGGGACAGTTCAGAATCCCCAAGGGGCCCCGGTGGAAACGGCCCGGCCCCAGTTAGAAGTTGTTGAGTGTTGTTGAATGGCTTAACCCCCATGAAGCATAGTTTAAAGATGTTAAGAGTTATAGTTGCCATAAACCATAGTTTTTGGATTTGATTACAAACCAAGTGAGCTACCAAAAAGGCCTCGCATTATATTGAATGAACGCCATGTTCCCGATCACGGATGCGTGAACTGCGGCGATATCCGTCTCGATAGATAGTTCCTTCTAACGACTGATCACCAGTCGACCATCATTGTAGAATACAACTAGTAATTTGTTGCCCCCTATATTACAAAATATTAAATATTTTACACATTATATATTATATGAATATGATTGTAACATATTATATATATATATAGCACAGCGGAACCGTTAGATAAGAACCGATTAAGAATCTTCCAGCCTACCCTGGGGTTCTTAAGTGCTATATGGTTTTTTTCGCGTGACAGGGGGTTCGCAGGACATAGGCGTTTTCAAATACGCAAGGTTCTGCGCAGCATGTGAAAGAAGTATTTTAGATGATTCGGATATACTGGGAGGTTTGCAAAGGTTATCCTCAATTTAATGGGAAAAATCAGACCATAGATGTTTTTATTTGGGTTCAAACCTTACGCTTTTAAGATCATCATTCACTGAACTAAAAAAACCTTGCAGTAGCTGGCCCCCATGAAGTGTTCATCAGGGACAACTCCAAAGTATCGTTTCTTAGCACAGCCGAGCATGTTTTTTAAGTGCTATAGGTGGAAAATATGGGAATTATGAACGAGGGTACCCTCAAGTTCTTAATGGCTTAGTTTTTAAGGGGTTCATATGGTGAGGGTCTTGCCAATTCATTTTGGCGTGGTATTAGGTTGCAAAGGAGGCGGGGGGAGGAAAAAACTTTTTAGGCTCCGAACCTGTTTGTCCGGGTTTGGGCGCCCGAAACAAGGCAGCACAGGCAAGACAAGCCAAGACAAGCCAAGGGCAGCCTCCGAGGGCAGATGACGTACAGTGAGTGTGGCTGATGTCTAGCTGAAGCTGACAACATCAGCCTTGGTGATCATGCAAGGGTTCGAAACTTCCTGAGACCGCACCATGTTTGTCCTCGGCATGAAAGTTCGGCGGTACACAATTTTTCTTTTGGGAAATCTGCTAATAATCAATCAATGTTTGGTATATTGATATCCGTTAAAGGGGTATAAGAACCAGCAGCTAGAATTCCAAGGCTTATTTCAATTAGCTGACAGAAAGGGCTGAACAGCATCCAGCCCCTGAAGTTCTTGTTGCAGCAGGTTCTTAAATAGTGGTTTCACTGTAGATGATTTCCCATTCAAAAGCTTGGTTATCCCCGGGGTCACCTCCCCCCACCATTAAAAAACACCGTCTCCGAGGCCTGCAATTCCAACGCATCGAGCGGCAAGAACTGGCGGCGCTGCAGAAGCAACAAGCACAGTCCGCGAACTCGAGGAATGAAACGGAGCACAAAATGAGTTTCAAAATGATATCAAGATAAAATAAGTATAAATGATCGGTTGATGGGATGGTCAACATCGTAAAATATTAATGGGTCTCAGGATGATCACTTACTTCCATCACTTCGATGATGCTGATGCTAATGCTGGTGATGGGTGTACCTCCACGTCGATGATGTATGGTAGAAGTCTGATATTTTATAATATGTCTTGGGAAACTGTGCGACTGTCCCCTACATATCATAGCCTACACATGGCAATCCGTGGGAGAGTTAAGCTCAACAACTTGGATCATTTGGTAATTATGATTGCTATATATATATACATATGTTTAGTTGCTGAGAAAGACCCAGCAAATTGGCAACTCTCCATGACTTCAAATATAATAATATGATTTTATCTCCGTGCTGGAGTTGACCTGATAGAATGGTGCTACAAAGGTGTGGTTTGATGTTCCCTGAAAAGGGCGTCATTTCAGATTTCGGATAGAAGTTCGTCCCCAAGATGGTTCAGTCATGACTTTATATGTGGACGAGTCAAAACCCTTTATTATCATACTAAGAGGAATAAATATCCATTAATCGGTTACTTTAGGATACCTAGCTGGTTGGTGGTTTGGAACATTTTTTATTTTTCCATATATTGGGAATAATAACCCCAACTGACTTTCATATTTTTCAGAGGGGTAGGTATACCACCAACCAGCTAGGGTATCAGGGGAAGTCTGACAATCTGTGTGGATCTCTAGTAATACCATAACAGGTATATGAACATAAATGATCGAACAGGATGTAGCAAAAACATTGCATTTTCAGAAACGTGGAAAAATGGGGACCTGACAGCGTCCCTTTCTGTATATATATATATATATACACACACATCTTTGACACCATCCATTGAGAGCCCAGGCAAGAGGCGCTGCAACAGCAGAAGAGGGAGCAGGACGAGAAGCGTCAGCTGCAGCAGCAGAGGATCGAGGAGCGAAACATCGGCCGAACGAAAAACACATTTTGTTGTCCATATAGTGTATATATATAATATGTACACATTATACATCTAATTATATGTAAATATATTGAAATATAGAATATGCATGAATATGCATCAATACAAACTGTATGTATGTGCGTATGTATGTCTCTAATTTGTATGACCATTGGATGTAGAGTCCATCAACAGTCCCCAACTTTGGCAAGATGGGTTTATCCTGAAACGAGGGGGCCATGACCCTTTAAAACAATTTTGTCTCCGAAAATATGATTAAAAACATGTATTCAAATTCACAAAGATCAGAACAACAAGATACAGTCCTGAAAACTAATTCCATTCTATAAATTATCATACATACTGTTGATTGATATTTTGTAAGTTAACATACATGGGATTATAAGGGGATAAACCATATACCAACTGCAGGATATTATGGACAATCCACAATTCACAGATCATTTTTCGGGGTTTCCACCCAGATATTATTGATATCCCCAAGGTTACTAATATTGACAATCCATCATAATCCTGGTCGGTGGTTTGGAACATGTTTTTATTTTTTCATATATTGGGAACAATCATCCCAACTGACGAACTCATATTTTTTAGAGGGGTAGGTATACCACCAACCAGATTATGATTAACCATCATTAACCATATAATAACCATGAATAATAACCATATATTAACCATAGATAAACTATCATTAACCACAGTGAGGTGTCCATCTTGTTTTTTTGAACCAGGCAGGCTGTGAGCGGGTCACCAGCAATGAGACGATCCTAGCACTGACGGATTTTTCCTTGGCATATCCCCTGTTTTGAAGACTCTCCGATTGGTGAAAAAACACGCAGCTATGGAAAATCACCATTGATTGTATGTTTGTTTTTTTTCTTTATGGGTAAACGGATGTAAAACCAATCTATACATGTGCTATCTATAGATATCTAGACCAGATGGTATATCCCCATTATAGCGTCACCAAATGGTTGTTGAACATCACCGCTGGGCCATGGCGGCTCCCCAATTTCTCGATGGTTTTCCCACTTGAATCCTGTCAAATCTAGTATAAGTTCGATTGCAACTTTTTTCTGGCCGCATTTGAGTACCAGAGGGTAGCCATTGTGCTTGGATTCCCATGGCGATGACAACAACCACTTTCATCCCAAACGACCATGGCACCCAGTGGATTAGGAGTTGAAGAGGCAGAAAGACTGGGCCGATCCAGACCTGCGAACCTCGCCAAAGGAATGGATAGCAGTTCCCAGTCATAGATAGAAAATTTGGAAACCTGGAAAGTCTGGTGATAGCATCATCTAGCCATCCTGGAAATTAGTAATGTGTTTTTCAGCACTCCTATCAGGGTCACGAGTTTGCTGGGTGATTTTTCACCAATTTCACTGCGGATTTCGATGGTGATTTTCTGGAGGCCGGGGGTGAGACGAACGATGCGAATCGGGAATCACCATCTGATATTATTTAACATAGCCATGGGAAATGGCCCATAGAAAGAGATGGTTTACCTATTATTTTAATGGTGATTTTCCATGGCTATGTTAAATAACCAGATGGTATTATGTATACATATATATATACATATATAAATATAAATTGTATGCGTATCATTTCATATTTTTCCAGTGACTAATGCCAATGAGAATTCACCATGCTTGACTGGTGAAAGGACGATCCACGACTTAGCGAATGAGTCAGACATGTCAAGGCTCCTTTGCTAAATGTCCCACTCAAAGTATCAACAAATGTCCTATTTGCTGTGTAGCTAGGGGTGTAGTTAGGGTTAGCCCTGAAAAAACATGTGACATGTTGCAAGATAAAATTCCGTTGCAATGTTTGTTTACCAAAGGAATCCGAAGGAAATACGCACATGTTTGTAATTTGATCATCAGGGATCCACAATGTTTCCTTGAGTGTTGCTGATTTCTTTGACATGACGTTGGTAAGTATGTATGTGTTCGTTTAGAATGACTAGACGATGGATGGCCCGAGAGCGTAGAGGAGCATAGTGAGAGGTGTAAGTATGAAGATTTAATAGCGGTGCAGACATGTGAAGGAAAAAGAAAAAAAAGATGAAATGAAGGAGACACAGGACGAAGAAATGCAAGCGCATGTGTACACATAGTCACACACACACACGTACGCACGCACGCACGCACGCACACGCACACACACGCACACACACACACACACGTCTGGGGCTCGTTGCTGTGACCACCTCGGCAACCAAAGGAACCAACGAGAAGCAAATGCGAAACATAAAGCGAACATTCATCATTTGAAAACAGATTGAAATGAAGTGTGAAACCTATCATCAACCGATGCATCCAACGCAGTGGCAAGTGGCCCCAGAAATGACGGCCAATTCTAGGGAGGGCATTTGTGAACACCCAAAATGACTGCCAAACAATCTGGTGCCATGCGTTACATGATCTACGAAGCGCCGCGGGAACAATCATCATCATCATCACCTTCACCATCATCATCATCATCATCATCATCATCACCATCATCATCATCATATTCGCATCACATCATCATCCTCCTCCTCCTCCTCCTCCTCCTCATCCCCATCCCCATCCCCCTCCTCGTCATCATCATCATCATCAGCATCACCATCAGCATCAGCATCATCATCATCATTATCATCATCATCGTCATCATCATCATCATCATCGTCATCCTCATCCTCTACACACCAACGCTTCCACACAGAAACTTTAACACACAAACACTTTTACATACCAACGCTTCTACAAACACGTTTGCACGCAAACGCGGTTACACAGAATCACTTTTACACTAGAAACACTTTTAGGATCTTTTAGGCACAAACGCCTTTACACACAAACGCTTTTATATACACACAAACACTTTTACAAAAAAAACCTTTTACACACAAACCCTTTTACGCAGAAACACATTTACGCACAAACGCTTTTTCACACGAATGCTTTTACCCACAAACGCTTTTACGCACAACCGCTTTTGCAGACAGACGCTTTTACACACAGAAGCTTTTACACACAGAAGCTTTTACACACAGAAGCTTTTACACACAGAAGCTTTTACACACAGACACGTTTACACACAAACCCTTTTACACACCGACGGTGACAAGTGCTCCTTGCCTGGTGCCAGGTTGCCAACACTACCTTGGAAGGTGGGCAGGGCGAAAGGTGATGAGGGCAGTGCAGGGGGGTCAGTGAATTGGAAGTGATTTTTCGTCACAGCAATACCCCACCAAAACATTCCGCAATTCAAAACTTCCAAACTAAGCTGCGCCGCCCTGGCTTTGTCACCAGCTATCATTTTCCACATCTCCATGATGTTTTCATCAGTTTAAAGCTACATGATCATGAAGCTGGGCAAGCAAAGCCGGTACGCATCTATGGGTCGGCTGGCTTGCATCTGAGCCAGGCTCTGCGTAGGCCTTCATCGCCGAGGCTTGTCGGGATGGCTGCATTTGGCATGCTAACTGAATAAGCTCGAACATGGTTCACAATATACGTTTAAAAAATCCTCGACGACTGCAGCGGCAGTAGTTGACTGGGCCGGATCTCGATATTGAGCATGTTGGATCACGATCATATCAGGAATGCATGCTGGTTGAGCATTGAGAGTGCATCATGGCGGTGGAAAATTTTTGATTTTCCATTTCTCGCATTGGCAGGGATTTGACGGCAATGATTACGGCTACAGCGGCGACTCTTTGCACCAGGAGCGCCAAAGGGCGGGAAAGGAAAAAGGGTTGTACAGTTCCACACCATCGCAACAACCCCAATGTCCCCGCCGTTACCATCATGGCCATCATCGTCGGCGCTGACACTGTTGCCTACAGCATTACCACCGCCGCAATCATCACCGCCGTCGCCATCGCCATGTTCATCATCAACATGTTCATCACCATGTTCGCCATGTTTGTCATTTTTGTTTGCTTCTTTTCATCTTGTCGGCTGGAAGGAGGCAGCCGAGTGTCTTGCTGTCCTCGACATGCGACTCGCAAATTCAGTGCGGGGCTCACATTTGGACGGGCGCGACATTCTGTCGCTTAGTACGGTCCTGTATAAGTGTTGTTCCCTTATTTTCGACCTAGGCCATGTTAAGTACGAGCGTGGCATACCATGGCTCGGCTTATATCAAAATATATGTACACACAAGGCCAACCAAAACAAATCATGGCTGTACAGCCGCAAGCTCAAATTACAGCTTACCCCGAGATCCAGTTTTTGACACTCGAACCTCGTTTCGTGCGAAAGGGTTGCCGCGGAGGATGTAAAATCGCAATTTTACGGCAGTTTTTGACGCTCGAACCTCAGAGAGAGAGAGAGAGAGAGAGAGAGAGAGAGGGTCTGCTGACAGCAACATTCGTGTGGTGCGACATCTGGTTCAAGAGAAAAAGGCCGCAAGGCAAGCGCGGATTTTCGTTGCGTGCAGCACAGGCAAGCACGGTAGTGTTTTTTGCGGCAAAGTCCTTAGCGTCATGCTGGAGGTCGTCATGAAGTGTGCCGATTGGAGCACCAGAATAGCGACCATGTGGGACGCGGGGCAACGCTGAGAGCGAGAAGCAACGATGCACAATGCTTTTGGGACATAATATTATGAAAATCAAAAATGCATCACTGGATGCCGGTACTCGGCTATCGTAATCAAAAGTTGCCACAATATGTTGTTAACCCACATGGCCAAAAGAGGCGTGACTTTCTGCACGGTGAGGGTGGACGATGCTGTCTACGAACAGTGCAGATGCAAAGCCGAAGCGGCTGGTGCAAAGTGCGCAGAAACCGCCTTGGCTGTTGGTACATCGGAATTTTTGCTGTGTAAGTTTCTCGCTGTAGCAAAGATAAATATGAGGACATCATTGCACGAATTAGTGCCTGCCAGCGATGGCGTGTGGTTCACCAAAGTTACGGCCTCGGATGCGTGTGGGCATGCTTGGCATCTTTTGATGCATAGCTATATGCTGGAGCTCTGGCCTGCAGCTTTTTCCCTATTCGCACTCACAGGGTTAAGCCACTGCAGTGTAGACCGTTTGCACTAGCTCACACACTTGCTTGTTCACTTGTCTAGAGCGCCACACACAGTTGGAACTTAGGGTGTTGTCTAGGGAATCTTTGATAGTCCAATCTCAGGGGAGTTTACCCTTCACCCCCCCCTCATCCCTTCTGTGTTCACGTGTGTTCTTTGTCTCACCAGTGTTGTGTTTTATTGTTGTCCCTTTCCCGTCCCTTCTGTGTTTACGTGCGTTCTTTGTCCTTATCATTGCGGGGTTATATGGTTAGTCACCGCGCCGCTCAGGACGGACTGCCCAGGTCGTGGTGCACCCCCTGCCCAACCGGCAAGCTCCCTGCCGGTTGGAGCAAGCACCAGCACGCCGATGGCGGCGCCCTTTACCTCCGCCCGGACGGCAGGCTGGTTTCGGAAGCCCCCACGTGGCACGAAACCGGCCTGACCGGCTCGGAACCACCTCCACTGCCTGGAAGCACCGCCAACGAGGCGCGCTGCTGCTGCTATTACTATTACTGCTACTGCTAGGGTCACAGCAGGAGAGAAACCTGGGCGGATCTCACCGAGGAGGAAGAAAGTGACAATTTTGCCGCAGCGACCGAATTGTGGGGAAGTCTGCCAGTGCAGGTCACTACCGCAAGTGAAAGCGAACATAGTCCGGAAGCTGTTTCGTCGACAGTAGCAGAAGCAAGGACCGCGTCAGAGCGGGCCGGTTCTTGCCAGCAAGCAGCCAAAAAGACGAGACCAGCCAAAAAAAGTCACTTTCGCAGAAGGAGACGTCGATGTGACGCTGATTGAGTCCACGCGCAAAGTCTGGATGTTGACTGTCGATGACGCACCAGGCTGCATCGTGAATTATGATATGGCAGCATTGTCGATCGTAACGACATTGAAGCCGTGCTAGTGGACGATGCTGTCGAGGATGCCGGTCCACCGTTTTGGCCAAAGTAGCACGTGACTTGTTCGAAGATGACACTTTTCAGTTCGAGCTCAGCTTGTGTATCCAAAATATGCAAAAACTTGGAACCATGCCAATCGAAGACCTTTCTGCGAGAAGCCTTCTGAGCCAGATTCAGTACATCATGAGGGAAAGGGAAGGAAGGGAAGGGAAGGGAAGGGAAGGGAAGGGAAAAGGGGAAGGGGAGGGCAGGGAAGGGAGGGAAGGGAAGGCGAAGGGGAGGGAGGAGGGACAGGGGAGGGGAGGGGAGGGGAGGGGAGGGAAGGGAAGGGAAGGGAAGGGAAGGGAGTGAACATGTGAAGGTGTGAAGATGAGAAGATGTGCAGATGTGAAGATGAGAGGATGTGAAGATGAGAAGATGTGAAGATGAGAACATGTGCAGATGAGAAGATGTGATGAGAAGATGTGAACATATGAAGATGTATAGCAGACCTCCACTATCAGAAGAACCCTTCGCTCAGACGCTCTCGGGAACTACCGGATACCCTTCTGCAGACCGCAAAAACCATGGTTTCCTATCAGTTAATCTTCCTTAAATCGAGACAGCAACAGGTCTTTTGATGCTTTTCTCACGAGCGTTTTTCCAGTCACTAGAGTTACATGTTTCTGTAGGTCACATTGGTACTAGTAGGGTTCAAGTACTATAAGGAGGTTTCTGACCTCTTATGCCTGCCGCACACATTTTTTTGGGGGGGAATCCCCATGGATTTTTCATGTCGTCCTTCCATAGCAATCCGTGGGATCATCTAGCTGCTTGATACGCAGCTGCTTGGTAGATTCATCTTATTTCTTGTTCCATGTTGATGGTTGATGGACAAGTCGACACACCATTAAAACAAAATATTGTTTTTAAAATATCATTCAAAACTAGATATATAGAGTATTTTTGCAGCATTTCGATAGAGGTGAATACTGGTGCGCGGGTTATATAATGTTATATACTATTTTGTAAACCTCTAGTCATCAGCAAACCAGGTGAATTAGTAAAATAAGATATCAATCCTCTCTCATTCATAGTTTTCGTATGTGTTTGTACTATCGCTCCGTATTTTGTAACTTTTGTAGGTTTCCCTAAAAACAGGGGTAACCCCAAATCCATATTTCATATCACAAGATATGTTATTTGGAGGTTTCCCTAAAATGAGGGTTTTCAGTATAAACCACCAATCAATGGATTTTCCCATATTAACAATGGATTTTCCAATATAAACCATCCAGCGCCATGGCGGTACTCCCATGGCGCCATGGGCCCAGGCGAAGCCATGGAGTTGGAGATGAAAGAATTGGAGGCCGGACACCACTGATTTTCCCATGAAGATCATGGGGTTTTCCGGTTTCAATTTTCCCAAGAAAACCAATCCATTGATAGCAAGATGTCACCGGGAATTGCAGGGGAATGCTGGGTCAATCTACCATCACTATCTATGAATGCGATTTTTAAATGTAAAAAACATGGGAGATTCATAGGAGATGTTCATGGGATAATGCACTATTTTCACAAAACATGACTCAACATTCTTGGATGTGCGGGTTGTCAATGATTCGGCTGATTTTCCCGAAAATCTATGGTGATTGTTTTTACTGTTTCCGGGTGGTTTCTTAAGAAAAATCAAGTAATTTGCTTATGATGTGCATGTAATCTATATATATGTATATTTATGTATGTATGGGGGGGTTCTTAAGTCATTGAGTCATGGGGGATCCAAAAAAATGGATGGATTGTTTTGTTGATGGACAATCCGATTTACAAAATGGACGATGAACATGGGTGGCCCCATTTTAGGAAACCTCCGTTTTATATATATATATATGTATGTGTGTATATGTATGTATGTGTGCTATATATATATAAATAATATCTATAAATACATACATATTGTGAAGATCACTTTGGCTCTGCCTTTTCAAGATGCCTCATGTAGAGTCATTGAATTTGTGAAATTCAGCAACTGGGGAGGAACATATATTTCAGGACTGTGTGGTCTGTTTTCCCGCTCAAGTACCAAAAATCATCCAACTGAATCTAACATTGGAATACATTGGATATAAATCATGTTGATTTAGCCCTTGCAAATAAACAACATGCTGATTTTCCATAGATAATTAATTTCCATTCAACTTGGCTCATTCCAAGTTGATCCTTGCCATCCAAGGCTCAAGTTGCCAGTATTCCGATGCAGGACCGGTGTGCGAATTCTTCGGAGATGGCAGACTTGGAGCCACCCGAAGGTGTTGAGAAATCGTAAATGGCTAAGGGCAACTTTAAATGGTGGGATAATGTGGGATTAATCACTTTTAACCAATATGATATTGTGGGATAATCTGGGATATGAATTCATTAATTCATCATAGTGGTTAATCGTGATTAACAATGATAAATAGTGATTCAATGATTAGTGATTAACATTTATAGTGATTAATAGTGCTTTATATAGCTACAATAGTGATTCATATTGGTTGATAGTGATTAAAAAAAACAACGATCAATAGTGATAAATAATGTGGGATTCACCCATTGCCATAAACAAGTACCATGACTGGGGATGGTAAACATAGCACCCATAAAAGTGGAGATGACTTGGGGATGGTTTATGGCACTGGGTTTACCACACTAACGGAGTTTTATGGGAATAAAAGTCATATTCCCCGTTTAAATTGCCATTGGTGTTCTATACCCTTTGGTAATTTAACATAGCGATTGAAAATTGCCCATTTACAGATTCTTAACCCCATAAAACATAGTGAATACATAGTGATTTTCCAGTTCGCAAACTGTTTTTCAGTACTTGAGGCTAAATCCCAACTTTAGATCATAGTTCTCATGAAATCCCAAACTTGTTTGGTGAAATCACCATTGTCCAACTTGGTTTCCCATGGTTTATTTTTTGGGGTACCCCATTTTAGGAAACCTCCATTTGTTTTACCCAATTTTCAGGCACATGTGATGATCGGAAAGCATGCAGGACTCTGTTGCGGGCACCGCTGGCGCCACACAGTCCAGCAGCAATCGACGGGATTGATATGATGCTGATAGTGATAGTGTGGGGATTGAACCATCGATGGTTGCGAAATCCTGCACCAGTTGGAAACCATCGGTAATTGCTAATATGAAACACTGTAAACCATGGGATTATAGTTGGATAAACCATCTACAAACTGGTGCAGCATGTCTACCACAGTATGCAAACTGGTTTATCTGAAATTGGGGTATATCCCCAAAGGCTATATATATATAAAATGGGGAACATGATGATAATCCATTGGAATTGTGGTAGTACCATATGTTCAGGCAAACCATGGATAACCGTAATGATTTGATGGTGAATCGAAATGGTAACTACAACCTTTAGTGACAGATGTGAAAAGGTACTTGGCAGTGTGAACTTGTTTCTAGTGCTTGGTGGATGGTGGAAGTTTTGCAAAAACATGTGTTTTTAAACGATTTCTATGTTCCACCCATGCCAGGGAAGACTTTCTGAGTTGAGAGAATCGTTTAAGACGGCTACGAACCATAAACCAGTGAATTTGGTTGATTCTGCCAAGCGTCCGTTGGGTCTGTCCAACTCAATGTTTGGACTGACATATTCATTACATGACCAGGTCTTTTTACTTATAGATATGAATACATACCATATCAACCTGTTCCTTACACACCATGCCATACCATGCAATGACTATGCCAGAACACACCACACCACATGTACATGAATGACTTTGCCTTCAGTTGTGTACACTGCGGGACATTCCAGTACATTACAATTCAGTACATTGCAAACATACCCACATACCTGATTAGATTGCCCGGGTGCCTACATACCAGCCCTTTGCATTCTAAAATACCTGGATACACACCTACCTGCCCACATACCCAGATATCTGGATGCCTGCATCCATCGATTTGTCCATCTGCTTCCAGAAATGTGTAGTGTACCCTTTGGTTATTTAATGTAGCTATGGAACATCATTGATGTTTTTAATAGGTAAATCATCATAAATCATCTATAAATTTGTAATTTTCCATGGCTATGTTAAATAACCAGAGTGTAACTATTTAAGAAATGGATTTATAATTCAGGAGATCGTGGATTATACCAAAAAAAAAGCAAGAACTAGCTAATCCCACGGCCCATCTACAGTAAGTAGATATGCAATCCCAATGATTGCGGCTGACATTACTGATCAATGCTACCACCATTGTTCCTATTCTCTGTAGTAAAATCGCCCCCCAATTTAAAGGGTCTCTCGTTTCAAACGTGTCATTTCTGGGGGGAAACCCAGAAATGGGGCTACCCCCATTTTTTATCCCCAGAGAATTTCCCAATCTATAAATGGACGATTTTTCTGGGGGTACCCCCATTTTAGGAACTCCCAAGCCGCCTTTCGCCACCAGGCCTTTCGGAAAGGACGGAGATGTGACCGGAGGCCCGGCGCAAAGAAACTCACAGGTTGACTTGGCGGACTTGGATGCCCCATGAGACTCGAAGAGGTTCTGAAGCACTTGTGGCTGGGAATATCCAGATCCTCCATTTAAGGTATATATGATTCATATTGATTGGAAAGAACATGGCTTTTCTGAATGTCAATGAAACAATATGAAACATCATCTTTAATTTCCCATGTATCAGTTGTTGTTCCCAACATCCCAACATTATGTCGGTTCAAACATGTCCTGGACATGGTCGGACCACGAAAATGTTCACAGTATCCTGCTGCTCCATTAATTTTTGGGTTTCGAAGATAGTGATTGAAAGACCTACAGAATGGTGATTTGAAGGCCACCCCATCTTCATTTCCCATTTTTTGCTCATTATATCATATCCTAATTACTTCCCATTACGCTATATCAGTATATTCTATGATTAATTACTAAGAATTTGAGCTCAGATGGGATATAATTTGGATATATGTCTATATTTGATCTCATGATACTCTATGATTGTTGAAGAACTCACCGCCCTCAGCCCTTAGGCGCCACTTTGAGTGGCGCCGCAGCTGCCGATGGGGAGGATGTTGAGGCTGGGGTCGTCTTCCAAAATGGCAATGGTTTCAAGATGGTTTAGCATTTTACATTGGAAACGAGGGTTAAACATTAATAAGATTGTCAACATACTGTCATTTTTATGTTTCCATGACCAACAATTCCTCAAGAGTAGTCTGGGATTTAAGTTAAGTCACCATTGTCAATACTTAGGTAAATCGTCTACAACCAGGCCATTTTCCATATAATAAGTTATATTGAACTAGCAGAGGGTAGAGATGTTTGCGGTGGCTTCTGTGAAGAAAAATAGTTGTTTCTTGATTGATTCTTGTTCAATATTGTTTATATGTTTGTCAACATGTGCTGATTTTTGTTGATTGATGTGCTTTGAATGTTTCCATTTGTTCTATTCAAAGGGTCGTACTCATCAAAAAGGGAATCCCCCATGAATCATGGTAAGATGACCATACCCACCATACCCCACATATCATTTTTGACCATGGCACACATCGGATAGTTTTATCCCCATTCATATCCTATTAAATCCCCATGATTAAAGGTCAAACCACCATTACTGTCAAATATGTTTCATCAAAAGCAATCTACAGATGCACACGTTTCTTCTCCATTAGCCAGGTGTGATTGCCCTTGGGGGTAAGTGACGCATCAACTACATATTCTGACTATCGTCTTTAATCACAAGTTTAACGGGTTGCCGGAGCTAACTTTCAATGTCACCTTTGGATGGTGGACGGGATATCTTTAAATCCCCTCAGCCCAGGTGAGAATGGGGCAAAATGGGCCCCCCCAAAAAACACTTGGTTGAACCTCCACGACATAGCTAGGTCGATAATATAGAGTTAGATGAGTTAGTGGCAGGCCATGTGTGAGTTATGTTACATCGTTTCTTTCACTAAGCATCCAGTTGCAACTGCTACTGGGGCACCATCTGCGACTATTATCATATAGCCTCCGGTATTCAAACATTTGACATGGCAATGGAAAATGCATGAACACCAGTTATAGGGGATTTTCCGATGATTTTCCCATGTAGAAACCTCCATTGAGTTCGGGGATTTGCCGTTGGATCCAGCGATGGCACCAGGAGCCAGATCCAAAGCTGAAAAGGGATGGAGATCAAAAGGCTCGCAAGGACTTCCTGGGAGGACATCGTAATTTTGATAAGCGACATACAAAAAGGATGGTTAAACTATGTTGAACTGAGAAAAATGGTGCTTTAATATGGTTCAACCTTAAGCAACATGATGCTTCAACTCGGTTGAACCAACAAACATGGCGGGTTGAGGTCATGTTGGTGGGTTCTTAGCCTCCAGTTGCTTGGAAAAACCACCTTTTGCAGATCATGTAGCTATAGGTAAAACCCCCATGGATTTGGGAATTGGTTCCTACAGCGTCACGGCCAGGCGGCTCGTGGCGGGAATGACGGAGGGCCCGTGAAAGAAGATGAGGATGACATGACCAGGGACCACAGGGACCACGGGAAGGACCAGAAGGATGGTCAAAATTTGAGTCAAAACAGTCAAGATCAGAAAGATGAGATGAGAAGAGATGAGAAGACTCCGACGCTTCAACGACTTGGGAAGGAGAATGATGCGAATGAGGATGGACGGGAGCGCGAAGAGCATGTATCGGAAGCTCGGAACGACAGAGGTTCAGGGGACGAGAGCAGGGTTCAGAAAGGTCGCAGTGATGAGAAAGACAAGCACCAGAGAGATCACAGAGATCCGGATGAAGCCGATGAAACTCCGAAAGATCAGAAAGATGCAGAGGATCAGAAGCTTCAGGATGGGAGTGCCATGAAAGGAAAGCTTCAGAAAGATCAGAAGGATGAAACGTCTGAGAAAGATCTATGGGACCAAAGGTCGAAGGATGGGAAAGATCTCAAGGATGGAAAAGACAGGGAGTCTGAAACATCCTCTTCAAAGGTCTCAGAAAAGCACGAGACGACGAGTGTCAAGGAGGAAAGGAGCACGAAGGACCCTGGGAGGAAGGGTAGAAGGACACAGCATGGAGGGCTCAATTAACCAAAATGGTGATTGAAGCACCTACATACATTAGCATCTATTTTAATGGGTTTTTGGTTTTATTTATCTTATTCTATTCTATGTTGCAATCCATATCAGAACGAGGTAGCGGGATGTTAATCTGACCTGTGAGAGACAGTCACATCAGATGTGTTCTGTTGTTTCTGTGATTAATGGGACATCCATGGACATCCTAACCTTGTTTGCAACCATTCAATAATTGTTGCATGTATACCGTATATATATATATATATGATCCTGTAATATCCTGTATGTACCAAGCGATTTGTGGTCTTCAGGGAAATTTGGCTTTGGTCTATAAACATTGTGAGAACATGTTCGAATAACTCAAAAATCGCACATGTCAAAACGTTACAAGATGGTGCCCCCTAGTTATAAGTTGGTTAATAACCCCATCTAAATATAACTATACCTATCATACACTATTGTTATTATAGTTATAAACCAACTTAGCCACCTTGTATGTTCCTCATGTTTGTTATTGCCATAGAGGGTCCATTTGGAACTTTGAGGATTCGCAGGTGAAAGACTCCAAGTCGGAGGTGAAAGGTGAGAAGTTCCTTGATCCGAGGGAGTTGGAGTTTGCAACAAACAGAGTGCGTATCTGGTTACACTACCCATATCTAATTGGGGTTATTCCATACTTAAGCGACTTATGCTATGGGTATTCATGATATTTTAGCATGATACAGCTGGGGATAATTCCACAAGTGGCTTCTATAAATACCTTTAGTATATGATATGGACTATTTACAGTTTGAGGTTATGTTATGTACGCGCTTAAAAAAGGGATTACAAGCTCTAACCTACCACAAGAAGGGCTTCCAACAAAATCATCCGTTGGCTTAGTTACAAACCAACGTGCCCATCGTTTGGGGCTGCTTCCTGTATCAAATGGGGACTTTAAACAACTAAAAACGATTGTTTACAGTTACCGACTTTAACCGACAAAGACATGTTTTGTGACCCGCAATCTTATTTATTTAATTTTATATACATATCTAGAAAGCAAGAACAAGGCATCCAGCAAAAAACGGAAGTTACATAATACCCAATGGAGCCACTAAATTGGTCATGATTATTTGTATGTAGACCGTCTCTATTTTGTGGATAAGCACTTTTGCGCCATAGCCAAGTGCAAATCAAAACGCTGCCAGAATAGATACACTGCTCTCTCAGCAGATATCTCATTTGTTGGTGGATGACCCGATTTTGGCCGATAACTGAGCCTTTTGATTGTTGAATCCCAAATGTGCTCGGTGAATCATGTCATGGACCATGGAGCCCAAATCCTCATTTTGTGGAAGAGATCAAGTTGATTCAAGATGATGAAATCCCAGAATTGGAGTTTTAACATGTTTTAACAAATTACATGAACCATTTGAAAACCCTATAATTGATACAATGTGAGGCCCCCAAGATAGCTAAGTTGGTTTACAACTCCAATAACTATGGTTTATGGTAGGCAAATAACTATAGTCTTAGTTACTGGGGCGAATCTAAACCAACAAACATCACTGGGGGTGCTCACATTGATAGGTCAAAGCCCGGGTTTCCTGTTTTTGTTGGTTCCCATCAACCAAGTTATTGATGAAACCCTGGCATCGGACCAAGGACTGCGTCCTCCGCCACCAAAGATGTCGCGAAAGAGACCAGTTGGGAGTGCTCAGTCGTCAGGGCCGAAGGTCACCGTGAATCATGGTTCATTGATGCTAATTGGGGGTACCCTCTGGTAATTTAACATCATTTGCTATTGAAAATGGCCATTGATAGTTGCAGGTTTACCCACTAAAACTGGTGATTTTCTATAGTTATGTTACTTTACCAGGGGGCAATCAGTCCGAAAATGATCTCATTTCTCATTGAGAATTACTCTCCGGTAATCAAATATAGCAATCCCCCCGAGCTCAATGGAGGTTTAGGCAATGGAGGTTTATAGCTGGGAAAATCATTGGCGGATATATACCCTCTGGTAAACATACAAAGAGCTATTGAAAAGATTTATAGTGGATGTTCCCATTAAAAATTGTGATTTTCCATAGTTATGTAAACGTGTACCAAAGGGTAATTATGTGTTTTGTGGGTGACTAATTTATCACTTGTTAGTTGGCACACATTCACATAAAGAAAAGCCCAGAGATGTGAGAGGATGGCCGGACAGGATGGTGATATCACCTCCAAAACAGTGGAGGGGTGTACTGGGTGAATAGAAAACAAAATGGCGATGTAACTAATACATGACAGATTATTGATTATTTTTCTGGAACCTCACATCGAACTTCAAAAATTGGGTTTGGACGCCGATGTTCCTGACTTGAAGCGATTCACTATACATAGAAACCTCACTTGGTATCACGATGCACTAGTAGATCCAGTGTTGTTTAAAGATGTGTAAAGCACTGAAGTCAGAAAACGAGGTATCATTTTTTTGCTGTACCATTACCATCACTACCATAGCGATAGTAGCCCCCCAAAAAGGATAGAACATTGAACATGATAGAAACATAATTAATATAGATCCCTATATCTTAGACTCCATAACTTAGTAGGATTTGACCAACTCTATATATCAATATAGTTACTACCCCATGATAGAAACATATCTTACCTCCCTATATGATTTGACCAACTTGTATCTTTTTTGGGTTTAAACGCGGCCTGCTGGAACTTCCCCATTGATTTCGATGTTTTCCCCAGCTTTTCCGAGGACATATCTCATTAGTTCTATGATATCCCCCACTTTTTGCTTGGTGATTTATTTTGGTGAAATCCCTATGAATCACCATTCATCATGTAGAAATATGTATAAATTGCCATTCATCATGTACAAATATAATGAAATATATATATATATAAATCACCATTCATCATGTAGAAATATGTATAAATTGCCATTCATCATGTAGAAATATGTATAAATTGCCATTCATCATGTAGAAATATGTATAAATTGCCATTCATCATGTAGAAATATATATATAAATTGCCATTCATCATGTAGAAATATATATATATATAAATCGCCATTCATCATGTAGACATATATATATATATAAATCGCCATTCATCATGTAGACATATATATATATATATATATGTATATATATATACTGCCATTCATCATGTAGAAATATCAATAAATTGCCATTCATCATGTAGAAATATAATATATATATATAGATATAGATATATATTATATAAATGGCGGATTTTCCCAGCTTTGGTGTATCCCTGTCCCCGAGTCTGGGGCTCTGTTCAGGTGCTTCCCCAGAGGTGCAACTGGGGGATTTGAACGTGCAGGATGGTGACCCCGATGTTTGTTGGTTTATAAACCCCATGAACACCATAATTAGTGATCTATATATAGTTATCTATAGTTATATCTGCCATAAACCATAGAATTCAGCCACTTATACGGCACCTGAACGTTATCTTGGGGGGCCCATCCTGTGGCTTTAAGATGCTTTAAGTGGACCGAAACATCAACAGAAATGGCGTTTGTTGGTTTTGGAACAAAGCCCATCTATCACAGTTGTTACCCTCTGGTTATTTAACATAGCCATGGGAAATGGCCCATTAAAAAAGATGGTTTGCCTATGAGACATGGTGATTTTCCATGGCTATGTTAGTCATAACCAGAGGGTACTTGTTTTTCACATTGGAAAATAGCAACGGATGATTTTCACAGTCAAAAGCTGGAGAATGATCCCAGTTGGCAACAGGATAGTAGCGGTGCCGGCGGTGCCTTTACCAAGTGGAAACATCCCCATCTGTGGATTCCTCTGGTAATACATAGATATGCAAAATTGCTTTCCTTTTGGAACATGTTCTATACATAGCTTCTGAAATTCCAGATGTAACAATTTACTGGAGGGTACATACGTACATATAGTTACATATAGTATGTTATTAATGTTTACCACAAGTAATGGTTGTATGACCATAGCCAATGCAAAAAAAATGACGCCTCGAAGTGACATGGTGCATGTGTCATGGTCGAAACATGGTCAAAACATGTGTTATGTGTCCATCAAACGGGGAAGACCTCTGCAAATCCTATGTCTAATCCCAAGTGTCGATCTGGAATTCCCATTAGAATCCCACCATTGGTGATTTTTTAACAAATGCCAACGATGCCAACGATGGGAAAAGCCAATGGTGGGATTTTTCAATAATACGCTCCATTTAAAATCATTTATAAACATTATAATCCCATGGGATAGCATTTGATTAAAACCCTATCATGTACGCGATAGTATTTTCCATCATGTTGTGAGCATGGCACAGATGACACACAGCAGGTTCCGAGAGTGCTGTGGGCGGCTCGCCTGCTGTTGAAGGGCCTGGGGCAAAATGGAGAGCAAAATTCACCGGGCATAATCTGGATATGTTGTGTGGGACATGATGATAGCAACAGTTGCAAACAGAATATATTATAATAACTTGCATTTGTCTATTATGTATATATATATATACACGTGTATATATATATATATACACATATATTATAGATATATAGCAAGTAATCGTTGCTATGACATTTGGGTTTGTCCAAACATGGTGGATGAGTTCCCAATGATAATGTATGTCCCAGGGTCCCAGCAAAAAGACTGATGCTTCTAACTTGAAAAATCCATTGGATTTGGATGTCCCCGGAAATGCATGTACTGGATATCTTACACATGAGAAGTGATTCATAACCCTCGTAACCCTGGTTTTAAACCTCAAATCCCGAAATAAGTTCCGGAAAAAATACAGGAAACCGTCATATTTCCAGGAGTGTAGTGTTCGTAGATTTCCCTCAAACATATGCATTTATCCAATGAATGTCAGTTGGAAGTTCCTCCCAATTTACTGTAGGAGGTATTAATCGGTTATTGTTGGCAACGACAGTCCTGCTTGATTTTCTTATTCTCTCCTGAGGAATCACCAAAAGACACTAATAAGTATATGGGTGTGTCTGAAAATAGTGTACCCCTAAACCCAATGGTTAATGATCATTATCCCTATTAAATGGCTATAATTGGGAATATACCCTATTTTCAGACAAACCCATATGTTGACACACAGTTGCTGCTATTTGTATCTTGTCATAAAGGTGGGATGCCAATGTGTGCTTGTTTCACGCGATTTTGTTCCAGTTTTATGCCGCTTGTGTTTGACATACAAACACTGTTCAAAAACATATTCAGAATTGTTCTTGACAAAGTCCAATGTTTCACTCTTTATCCTAAGTTGTTTAAACATAGAAAGTTCTTCATGTTTGTTCAGTTCAGTTCTTTGCCTTTCTCAGGGGTGCCAAGCCAAGCAAACACAGTTTTTTCACCCTGTCAGACGAAGGTGGAACCCAGCGGAAAAACGGGGCCTCAAGCGGTCTCTTGACTCATTTTATGGGGAGCATTCGCCTTTTCCAGGGTCCAAGGGAGATTTTGGATCAGATCTGGGGACAGGTCCAAAATTAAGGCATAGACAATAGATACCCAGTGGTTATTTAACGTAGCTATGGGAAATCACCATTTTTATAGGTAAATCATCTATACATGGGCTATTTCCCATAGCTATGTTAAATAACGAGAGGGTAGCTATTTGAAATTTAAATGACTCATGGTGATACAAGCCAACTACAATGGGGATATGCTATGGGATATACAACCAACAATATTATATATGGGTGTGCCCAAAAAAGGAATATGCATTATAGATTGGGAGTTAGCCAGCCCCAATGTAGGCATACATCAATTGAACCAACAGAAATGGGCATAACAATGTAGTCTTAGATTTGGTTGGTGATCTTGTTTCACTCCCACTCAAAATGATATGATGATCCCATTTTCTGTATATTTTTGGGACCCCTTTGGCTAGAAGGAACATGACGCCCCAGGGATAGTGAGGTCGGTCACAGGAAAACCCCCAAAGGTGTCCGCTGTGGCTCCAACGTCAAAAAGTCGCGTGGTAGGAAGCCCACGCAATGTCCTGCCAAAGTGCTGGCTATATATCCAGGGCAAGCAGGTGCCCATGACCGTCGTGAGGTGATTGATATCCATGTGCTTGGTCTCAATGGTGAAGGATGCACCCTGACCCGGCAAAGCGTTTCCACCCTGGGGCGGACACTGCGCAAGCTGGTGGCGGAGAAAATCCCGGCAAAGCCCGGGGCGAAGCTGGCGCTTTACCACCTGACCCAGCCGCTGATTCTTCACCAAAACTTGGAACAGCAAGGCATAGCGGGAGAGAGTGTGACAATTTCCTGCACTTACATTCCGACAAATTTACAGGCTGCTTGGGTTTATCTCCAAGGAATTCGGGTCTTTGAAGAAGAGTTTGCGCTTGAAGGGGGTGGCTCATATAGCAGGTGCAGTGACAGCTGTGTGCTTGCATCATCTTCCCCAAAGCTTGAAGGGCTTGACCTTTGCTGATCACTTCTACCAGAGCCTAGGAGCAATACCTTTGCCGAGGCAGTTGCAAAGCTTGTCTTTCGGCCGGATGTTTAACCAGAGGCTGGAAAGAGTGAGTTGGCCAAGCAGTCTGCAGAGCTTGACTTTCGGTGCGGAGTTCAACGAGAGTCTGGACAGAGTGACACTGCCAAGCGGTTTGCAAAGCTTGACTTTTGGTAAGAATTTTGACCAGCTCTTGGATAAAGTGACGTGGCCAAGCAGTCTGAAAAGTTTGACCTTTGGGGAATATTTTAATCAGAGTCTGGAAAGAGTGACCTTGCCAAGAAGTCTGAAGCCTGACTTTCGGTGGGAGATTTGACCAGAGCCTGCGAAGGGTGACCTTTCCAAGCAGCTTGGAAAGTCTGACTTTCGGTGGGAGATTTGACGAGAGCCTAGAACGGGCAGCCTTGCCAAGCAGTCTGCAAAGCCTGACTTTCGGTGGGAGATTTGACCAGAGCCTGGAACGGGCAGCCTTGCCAACGCATTTGCAAAGCATGAATCTCGGTATGATGTTCATTGGGGACCTGGAACGAGTTGCGTTGCCAAGCAGCCTGCAAAGCTTGACGTTCGATGCGACGTTCAACCAAAGTCTGGACAGAGTGACCTTGCCATTTAACCTTCAAAGTTTGACGTTTGGTGTGACGTTCATCCAACGTCTGGACAGAGTGACCTTGCCAAACAGTTTGCAAAGGTTGACTTTCGGTGAGAAATTTGATCAGAGCTTAGGAAGGGTGACCTTGCCCAGCGGTTTGAAAGCCTTGATTTTCGGTGACAGTTTCAACCACAGCATGGAAAGAATGACCTTGCCAGGCAGTCTGCAAGAATTGCATTTCGGTTTTTGTGTTTCGCCATAGCTTGGCAAGAATGTCTTGGCCGAGCAATTTGCAAAGCCTGACGTTTGGTTCCCTTGTCCATGGTTTAGACCGAATGGTTTTACCAAGCAGTCTGCAGATCTTGAGTTTGGGTTGGATGGTTGACGATGTCTACCGTCCTGCCCTGGGTCTGAACAGAGTGACGTTGCCAAGCGGCCTACAAAGCTTGACTTTCCATCCGCTGGATAGAGACAGCCTGCACGTCGTGACCTTGCCAAGTAGTCTGCAAAGCTTGAAGTTTGGTGACTGCTTTGACCAGAGTCTGGAAGGTGTGACCTTGCCAGGCAGTTTGCAGAGCCTTAGTTTCGGTGAGAGGTTCAACCAAAGTCTGGACAGAGTGACATTGCCAAGCGGTTTGCAAAGCCTGACTTTCGGTCGTAATTTCAACGAGGACCTGGAAAAAGTGAAGTGGCCAAGCAATCTTAAAAGCTTGACATTCAGTGGCAGGTTCAACAAGAGGATGAGGTTGCCAAGCAGTCTTCACTCTGTGACTTGCGGCGCCCGCTTGGTGAGCATCGTATAGGAAGGATCCGGAGCACGTGGACATCATTATACACGTATAAAGAACCGCTTGATGCACTTTGGAGGGAGGTGCTATGACTGCAGTTCAACTACCAAACGTTGATGTTTCCAAGTGAAAAAGGGCGATCGACTTTGCAGATGATTAGGAAGTGGTCTTTTATGGTCTTCTTTTCAGCATTGGAAACTAGAACTGTTTGGTGGTTTAGAACATGAATTTTATTTTTCCATTCAGTTGGGATTTTCATCATCCCAACTGACGAACTCATGTGTTTCAGAGGTGTTGGCTGAAACCACCAACCAGATTATTATTAACCATCATGAAAACCATCATCATAACCATTAATGTTAACCATATAATAACCATATATTAATATATATATATATTAATAGTATATTACCACCAACCAGGGGTAGGTTGAAACCACCAAGCAGAATGTGGTGGGATGGGCAACCCGCTTTCCATATGGAGCCCGAAGGATGGTCATCACCATCCCTTCATCAAACGTAGCAGGAAAATGTCCTCTGGAGAAATGGAGGTTTCAATGGGAAAATCATCTATAGAGATGGTGGTATGTAATTTCAAAATTAGCTTGATATCTGATCGACACATGGATATCGAGCCCCATTTCTTGTCCATTATTTTTTTGCAGGTTTCATGAGTGACAACACAAATGGACCGTAGGGACCGTAGGGTACTTCATCGAAATTGGAATCTTGTTTGTTGGCAACGGGTTGAAACCACCCCAACTCAGTCAGTGTAGCATGTACGGCATGTGTATACAAGCGCCCCCAACAAATCCCCCAAAGCCAGCAACATATGACCCTCTGATGTTTAATGATTTTCGCATATTTTCATATATGTTCACAAATCTTTTGATTTTGATCTACTATTCCAAGCATGATAGCCCTTCTATTCTCACGATGTTTTTGTTGCGATCAACTTTTTTTCTCAATTGCAATATATTAGTAACACCCTACTTTTTCGGGGCGCCATGACATCATGATTTCGGATTATTGAAACCAAAAGGTGGGTTGGATTGCTAGGGGATTCCCACAACATCCCACAACAAGGTTTTGGGCCACCAGCATCAAGGTTTACAACATACCAATCAGCAAGGGAAATCCCATGGATTCCCCCTATGCCTTACGAGTCTTGCTTTGCCAATGATGGAGGTGTCCCGTCGTGTTTCTCCAGGCTTTGAGCCTACAGTGATCGACTGTTGCTGTATGTTTTGCGAACAAAAGCCCTTGATTACCACTATTGGTTCAGCCTAGTCAGAGAGTAAACCCAGTAAACCCCTACCATCTTACCCTCGTTACTTAAATGGAGTTATGGCCAGGGTAAGTAAAATTGAGGTAAAGGTTTTTCCACTGGGCCCAGGGTCCAATTGCGGCCTGGCCTTGTATTCAAACGTGGGTTACCTCGGATGAACGACCGAGTTGATACAGTAAGTTGTTAATAAATAACCGGTGATCGTAAATCCCCATTCAGTGGCTTATCCTATCTATCCATGGGTTTATGTTAAACCCCGAGTAGTCACCAGTTACTAATTGGATCAACCAGTTAGTATATAAGTTAATCAGTTCGTAAGTTGTTTATAGCAACTGGGTTAACCAGTTAGTAAGTTGTTTATATACAATGTGAGCACCCCAGATATAAGTTGGTTTGTAAGCCCCAGTAGCTATACTTATTTGCCTACCATAAACCATAGTTATTGGAGTTATGTGCACCAACTGAACGCTATCGTGGCCGGGGGCCTCACATTGTATTTGTTATGTGCGTGTATACAAGATGTATTATGTAACTGGGGAGATTCTCCATATGGGTGGGGTATGATGCCAGGTCATTACGTGCCAGGTCTGGCTTGGTCCATTGTCAGCTGGTTCGCGCCTCAACTGGGATTTTTTGGCCAAGAAAATGTGGCACCATTTTTGGGCCGAAGATAGCTCTGTTGGTTTACAACTACAAGATGTTCATAGATTTTATTTTTTTTGGTTTATGGATGTTTATGGATGTTTATGGATGTTTATGGTGTATATGATTTTGATACAAGTCAATTGGACGGGGTGTCGAAATAAAGACCAAATTGCTGGGGCCATGTGGGGCCCCTTTTTTTTGCCTTTTCCCGGGTTTTATGTGGTAAAGCGAAAAATCGCCACCATCCCCAGCAACATGGAGTTTTATGAAATTGGGTATAGCCCCAGAAATGGATAGAAATGGGATGATTGAGCCAAAAGTCAGCCAAAATACGGCTTTGTCTAATGGGTTCATCAAGAAAAACGAAGACAAGACTGGGGTATGACTACAGTGACTACAATGTGAGGCCCCCATTCGATAGCGTTCAGTTGGTGCACAAATCACTCCAATAACTATGGTTTATGGTAGGCAAGTAACTATAGTTACTGGGGCGAATCTAAACCAACTTATAACTGGGGGGGCTCACAATTGTACAAAAAAAAGGGTTTGTCCAGTACTGGGGCATGCAGCCCACAGAGATTTTGGGGGTAGTCTAAAGCCACTTTGTCTTGGGAATATTTCACGGGATATATGCTGATGATTATAGTTCAAATATGGCCAACTATGTGGCTGGTTGGTGGTTTGGAACATTTATTTTTATTTTTCTATATATATATATTTGGGAATAATGATCTCAACTGGCTACTATTTTTCAGAGGGGTAGGTATACCACTAACCAGGTGGTTTGGGTGTGCGAAATGGCTGGGATTTCGGGGAACTCCATTTTCGCCGCAGTTGTCCGGGACAACCCTCTCCTACCCTCGTCCGGTTTCCACAGAAGTTGGGCCACCCGATCCCCGATCGGTGCGATCGGTGGAACCCCATTTTCTTCGCTGCTGGAAATTCCATGGGTTTTGGAGGTGAAAAGAAGCGATCTTTTGAGGCGTTTAGAAGGTGAAACCGGGAAAACCTCCGTGTTTCTTGGTGTTTCACCAGGCGTTTGTTTTTTTTGCGGCATGTTTTTGTTCCAAAAATTGTGGAAACACTGCGACCTCTAAGGAGAAGTCCTAAAGATGGCTGAAGAGTCAAAGAGTCTGGGTGGGATCTCCCAGGTTTCGATGGTGAAAGCGACTAATGCTGGATAGTTTCGATAGTTTGCTCGCCAAAGTAGTACTTAACTGCTGCTGATGGATTAAACAAAAGCTTACAGCAATGGATTTTAGTAGATTTTGAAGGAGTATACTGGAATATATGTCGTATATAACCAGTAACTACCAATCCTACAACATGTGGGGCGTGTCTGGACACACGGTATGCCTCCAAATGGCAATCGAAAATGTTTGAAAATATTGGACATGATGATCAGCCAATGGAGGGGTACCCAATTTTCAGCCAAAGCCATCTAGATCATCAACCAGCCAGGGTGGTTTTTTCAGAGAGTGATGGATGGATGGATATTGCCAGGGTTAAGCGATTGGGCGCCCCCTTAAATGGGATGTAGTAACGGAGAAACAGCAACCCCAAAAAAGATAGAAACAATTCAATTGATCACTATTTTTTATGACCATATATAAAGCCTATATAAGGCCTAAATTTGAGGGAATATCCCTTGAAAATGAATGCCCTTATATTGTACAGTACCTCCATTTTAGGATCCTGAAACTCCCATTGGTATTTTGTCGTTTGTGAGGTGCCATACATCGTAGGGAAAACTGGTTGTTTTTGTGGACATGATGTGTAGCCACAGAGGACGAGCCGGGGGATAGCTGGAGCCTGGTTTGGACTATACCAGGTTACTTGGTTGAAACATGCACATCAATGTATAGTGCAAACAATAATGGGGATATAACTCACTATACCAGGTTACTTGGTTGATATTGTGAGTTATATCCCCATTATTGTTGGGTTCCAGTACATGAAGAAGCTCTGTCAGACATTGTTGGTTTAAAACACTCACCAGAGAAATGTACGTACCATGTCTATCCCCCTTACCATTTCCACTACTAAAAGGGTGAACACGTGCTGGATACCATCCCCTGTCGCGGAGAGAATTCATGCAAAAAAATGAAGTCGTGCCTAGGATTTTGCAGTCAGCGAGCATGCGCTGCATCTTGTAGCGGCTTTTCATTTTTCTAACTTAGCACCTGAAAATCGGAAATGCATTTTGTAGTGATTTATGTTGGGATGCGTTGGGTCATACAGGAAACCCTATAGCCCTCTTTTTCCAGTCATGCTGGGTCACATTAACATATGGCTTGGACCCTCAGACCATTTTTGGCTCTCGACTCACGATCATTTCGTGGTAAGATGAGCCACAAAAAAACGAAAAAAACACAATGTAGAGACATTAAGAAGGAACAATGAGAAAGATTTGGTTTCAAAACCAATCAATTGAATTTGAAGTTGTGCGCTTAGATCGTTTTTGTTGCCCCATAGCTCTGACGATTGCAGTTCAAAATCTCTGCGCCGTGCTTTTGTCACACCTACTTTGGCGATTACATGCTATTACCAATCATAATCTAAATATATCCCATTCTACTAGGTTCCTGCTCTTTTTGTCCAATATCAATAGTCAAGATTTACCCAAGTTCAAAGAATCCATGCTCAGAGTTCCTCTCACCCACAAAGCACAGATTGACTGCGTGATGTCCTAGTTTCTGGATGACTTTTGTCACGCACTGCATTTTGTAGTGATACACGCGTGCACAACCTTTTGTAGAACCTAGTGCGTCCCCCTCCAGATAAGCCCCCAAAAGTTCGAAAAACAGGCTTTTTATGCAGAGACTTTAAGAAGGAAAAATGAGAAAGATTTGGTTCAAAACCGATCAATTGAATTTGAAGTTGTGCGCTTAGATCGTTTTTGTTGCCCCATAGCTCTGACGATTGCAGTTCAAAATCTCTGCGCCGTGCTTTTGTCACACCTACTTTGGCGATTACATGCTATTACCAATCATAATCTAAATATATCCCATTCTACTAGGTTCCTGCTCTTTTTGTCCAATATCAATAGTCAAGATTTACCCAAGTTCAAAGAATCCATGCTCAGAGTTCCTCTCACCCACAAAGCACAGATTGACTGCGTGATGTCCTAGTTTCTGGATGACTTTTGTCACGCGCTGCATTTTGTAGTGATACACGCGTGCACAACCTTTTGTAGAACCTAGTGCGTCCCCCTCCAGATAAGCCCCCAAAAGTTTGAAAAACAGGCTTTTTATGCAGAGACGTTAAGAAGGAAACATGAGAAATATTTGGTTCAAAACCGATCAATTGAATTTGAAGTTGTGCGCTTAGATCGTTTTCGTTGCCCCATAGCTCTGACGATTGCAGTTCAAAATCTCTGCGCCGTGCTTTTGTCACACCTTTTGTGGCAATTACATGCGATTACCAATCATAATCTAAACGTATTCCATTCTACTAGGTTCCTGCTCTTTTTGTCCAAAAGTCAAGTTACACCCAAGTTTAAAGAATCCATGCTCAGAGTTCCTCTCACCCACAAAGCACAGATTCGATGCGTGATGTCCTAGTTTCTGGATGACTTTTGTCATGCCCTGCATTTTGTAGTGAAACACGCGTGAACAACCTTTTGTAGAACCTACTGCGTCCCCCTTCCAGATAAGACCCAGAAGGTCCGAAAAAACATGTTTCTTAATGTAAAGACTTTAAGAAGGAAAAATGGGACAGATTTGGTTTCAAAACCGATCAATTGAATTTGAAGTTGTGCGCTTAGATCGTTTTCGTTGCCCCATAGCTCTGACGATTGCAGTTCAAAATCTCTGCGCCGTGCTTTTGTCACACCTTTTGTGGCAATTACATGCGATTACCAATCATAATCTAAACGTATTCCATTCTACTAGGTTCCTGCTCTTTTTGTCCAATAGTCAAGTTTCACCTAAGTTCAAAGAATCCAGGTTCAGAGTTCCTCTCACCCACAAAGCACAGATTGACTGCGTGATGTCCTAGTTTCTGGATGACTTTTGTCATGCAATGCATTTGCATTGGCACACGCGCACACAACCTTTTGTAGAACCTACTGCCCCCCCTCCAGTAAGCCCCCAAAAGTTCGAAAAACTTGTTTTTTTTTAATGTAGAGACTTTAAGAAGGAAACATGGGACAGAGTTGGTTCAAAACAAATCAATTGAATTTGAAGTTGTGCGCTTAGATCGTTTTTGTTGCCCCATAGCTCTGAGCATCGTAGTAGAAAACCTCTTGAAAGGTCAATTCCTGGAATCCGATGGAAATCCCAAGGTTGTATTTACTTTTGCTCGGCAGATGCTATAACCTGGGCCCCGGAAAGTGAACCAAAGATTTAGAGTGAAATTTCCAGAAACCGTTTTGTAGAGAATTATGATTTTTCACTGCAAGCCGTTTTTCATTACAAAATGGTTATGCAAATGCATCTTGTAGTGATCCACATTGGCTTTTGATCCACCATCAAAACGCCCAAAGCATTTTGTAGCAAGGGGGTTGGTCCAGATAAAGGAAGCATTTTGTAGTATAAGGCTGTGTTTGTAAACGGTTTAGTTGGCACAACTACCTTGCAGAATGCACACAGGGATCCATGTCTAATATACCAACTCCTCCAATAATGATTCCAAAAGTGGTTCTTTGGCATGCGAACCCCAGCTACTAAGTGGTCAATAGCCTATAGCCCTTATTTACGTTGGTTATAATTATAGCCAATCAAAACCATTTCATTTCCTGGCTATTCATTCACATGTAAACATATATATTATATTTAAATGATATTCAAAGATACTATCATATATATTATATAGTGTAATGCTTATTATTAAATTGACCCAAGCCCGCTGGTGAATCATTTTCGTTCCATATGATTTGCTGGGTGGTATATTGTATACCACATTTTCAAACACACAGGATTAGAACATGGTTGTCTATATATATATATATTCATACACATATACACATACATCCCACAATAATATATATATATATATATACATACATATACAATATTATATAGTAATATCATTGTATATTTTCTAGTTTGGTTGGTCATATTCTGCTATATTGCAAGAAACAAAAGACAGATGACCAATTTATATGTCAACATATGTCAACCAATATATAGGCATATATAGGCATTGAACCAAAGATGACCCCCACCAGTTTTTTCAGGCATTTAAGCATCCCACAATAGATATTCTCCAACTGTGGATGCTCAAAGGCCTCATTTTCAGCAGCTTTCATGACCCAGGTCCAGATGGTTTGATTTGGGGCCTCGCATCGGTGACCCGTCCTTCTGGGACCGGCAGGAGGTAGCTGACAACATCTAACTACAATGAGGCTTTTTATAGGGATATTCATACATACTTACATACTTACCTACATACATACATACACACCCACCTACCTACATACATACCTACATACATACACACACATACCTACATACATACATACCTACATACGTGCATACCTACCTACATACATACATACCAACCTACATACATACATACATACCTACCTACCTAGATACATACACACCTACCTACCTACCTACATACATACATGCATACATACCTACCTACCTACCTACATACATACATACCTACCTGGACAAAGCCGGATTCAGAAACTCCGCCGGATTCAGAAACTCGGGATTCAAAAAACTATTTCGTCGGATTCAGAAACTAATCGTCGGATGCAGAAACTATTTCGTCGGATTCAGAAACTATTGCGTCAGATTCAGAAACTATTTCGCCGGATTCAGAAACTGCTTCGTGGGATTCAGAAACTATACTCGTCGGAATCAGAAACTATTTCGTCGGGTTCAGAAACTATTCGTCGGATTCAGAAACTATTTTCGTCAGATTCAGATTCTATACTCGTGGGATTCAGAAGCTATACTCGTGGGATTCAGAAACTATTTTCGTCGGATTCAGAAACTATTTTCGTCGGATACCGTCGGATTCATAAACTATACTCGTCGCATTCATAGACTATGAGGGAATTCAGAAACTGCTCCATGGTTCAGAGCGATGCATTTTAGGGTTGGTCCAGTCCAGTGCTGCCTATTTCGTCGGATGCAGAAATTATTTCTGAAGATTCAGAATCTTTGATGGGTTCCGAAATTATTCCATGGTTCAGAGAGGCAATTTAGGGTTGGTCCGATGCACACCCGCTGCAGCCATGACGAAATGCGGCGGGAACTCCGCCAGAGACGCTTGGGCCCAGAACTTTGGTTCCAATTATTGTAATAAGAAAGCAAATCCCCCACTTCGAAGGACCGAAAACTTTTTCTCATATGAGTCTCCACCTATCTTGCCGAGGAATCCAATCCATTCCCTGCGGCCAATGTATTGAAAGCTCATTTAACTCAACTTATCTTAATGATGGATCCAAACTGCCACCCCCTCTAAGCAATACATTGATGGGCAAAGAAACTTATAATTGTTCTTCATGCGGGATCAAAGCTGCAACCCCCTCTGGCCAATATATTGAATCGGATCTGAACTTGAACTTAATGAGGGATCAAAACTGCCACCCCCTCTGGCCAATATATTGAATCGGATCTTAACTTGAACTTAATAAGGGATCAAAACTGTCACCCCCTCTGGGCAATATATTGAAAGTAATTTAAATACAACTTATCTTGACGAGCGATCAAAACTGCCGCCCCCTCTGGCGAATTTATTGAAGAGGATCTTAACTTCAACTTATCTTCATGAGCGATCAAAACTGCCACCGCCTCTGGCCAATATATTGAATAGAATCTTACCTTGAACTTATCTTCATGAGCGATCAAAACTGCCACCGCCTCTGGCCAATATATTGACTAGGATCTTAACTTGAATTTATGTTAATGAGGGATCCAAACTGCCACCGCCTCTGGCCAGTATATTGAATATGATCTCAACTTCAACTGAGCTTCATGAGGGATCAAGACTGCCACCCCTTCGAAGCAATGCCTACATTGGACCTTTATGGGCATAGTAGCCTAAACTTATTTTAATAAGGGATCAAAACTGCCACCCCCTCTGGCCAATATATTGAATCGGATCTTAACTTGAGCTTAACTTCATGAGGGATCAAAACTGCCACCTTCTCTGGCCAATATATTGAATCGGATCTGAACTTGAACTTATCTTCATGAGGGATCAAAACTGCCACCTCCTCTGGCCAAATATTTCCCCCTCCGGGTTAGAGTCAGAGCTAGAAGGGGCACTAGCAGCATCTCTCTTGTTTCCTTTCCTGCTGGGTATTTTCTTCCTTCCATCCTTGTCCTTGTCCTTGTACCTCTCCTGCTCGATTTCCTTTCGTTCTTCTCTTCTTTCTCTTTCTTCTTCCGACCTCTTTGGATCCTGCACCAGATACACGGCCGTCTTCCTCATCATCATCATCATCATCATCACCATCATCATCATCATCATCATCATCTTCATTGCCTTTGCAGCTGCCAAGGCTGTTGTGTTCTGTATCTGGTAACTCCTGCTCTTTCTTCTGTTTCTTCTTTGCAGCGGCTTTTCTGGCAGCCGGTTTTTTTTGAATCCTCGGTTTCTTTTTCATCTCGTTCAGAAGGAGGAACCTCTGCCGAGGAACTTTCATCCACATCACATCGCTGGAGAAGCCCAGGTCCTACACAAAACAATCAAAATACTTGAGAGTTTCATCAAGGTTACATATCTCATCTGTCTACCTGTCTATCTCTCTGTCTGTCTGTCTGTCTTTCTGTCTGTCTGTCTCTCTATCTCATCTGTCTATCTAACTATGTATCTATCTATCTACCTATCTACCTATCTATCTACCTATCTACCTACCTATCTACCTACCTACCTACCTATCTATCTATCTATCGATCGATCGATCGACCTACCTGCCTACCTACCTACCTACGTACCTACCTACCTACATACCTACCTACCTACCTACCGACCTACCTACCTACCTACCTACCTTATCTATCTATCTATCTTTCTATCTATC